CTTGTTGTTTTCTTCATTAAACTTCAAAGCCATTCACTTATTTTCTTAGGCCTGTACTTTCTTAGATTCTGGTTCCCTCTGTTATTCGGTGGGTGGTAATCTGTGACTTACAAACTGATCCACTGCTAATCTCACAGTCAAACTGTGGACACCAGCTTCTCTGTCCTCCTGGCAGACATGTGTCCAGCTTCAGGCACCCTGTTTGCTTTCTGTTCTAGACATTCAAACATTCCCAGTACCAGCCCTGAAATCAGCAACTTTCTAAGAAGTCCTAGTCCTGTTTAGTGGGTGTTCTAAGTTACAGAGGCATGGGAAACAGCAAGAAAGGAAGCGGAGACCAGCTGCCCCCTCAGAAACGAGCTTCCTTAGGAGAGAAGGCCTTACAAACATTGGCGACAAGATTGGGCTTTGGGGAGGGAAGGAATGCAAAAGAATAGCTTATAGGGAAAACAGATAGCCACTGTTGGGGGACCTGAAGGAAGGAGGGGTGTACCTTCGGAGAGATCATTTGAACAAAGCAGATATCTAACCTTTGTGCTTTGGTGGGCCAGTGGCAAGTTCTACACTATATGAGTTGGTCTCACACAGACTACATGACAAGGAGCCAGGTACTGGACAGGACCCTACAGCTTTGAGGGGGATGGGGTGCAAGGCCACAGCATGGCACAGCCTTATAACCCTGTCCCAGAGAGGCTTGGCTGATTGTGGGGAGATGACAAGAACTTACAAAGAGAGTCTGCGTTCTAACAACGCCGACACTGGCATTTAGAAGCCAGGACTTGCGATGGTTGCCATTGCTTTTGGGGTGCCATCATTGTTGGGTCCCCTCAACGGGCAGAAGTTTGGATTATTTATATACATGTAATGTGTATGTGTGTGTGCGTGTTGGTGTCTATTTAAGTCTACTGAAACCATGAGCTAGAACTAGAGTCTCTCCTTCTGTATTCATAATTCCATCCTCTGAGAGATGTTTTTGTATCCCCAATGTATTTGCCAATTTATCAATTCCCTGCGTGGAGGTCATCTCCCAGTTCCGACACTGCCCTTGGTCCTTAGGATGTCCTCCTCCTGAAAAAGCTCCAACTCTGTGTGCTTCTGTCTCCGCTCATTAAATATGGGCTCTGCCACCTCAGTGTGTGGCCCCTCTGTGTGGAAGCCTTTGACGTGCACACTGCTGTGTGCCAGTTGTCTCATCCATTCAGGGGTATCTATGTGGGGCACTGCCTCCTTCCTAGGCAGGTGCTCCCACACCCCTCTCTGAAGCTCTACTTGTTTCTACTCACACATGCATGGCCACCTGCTTTGTCTTCAGGATGGAACTTTGGGAAGAGTGAAGCTGTAGGGGCCTGAGAGAAAGGGAGTGAGCCAGGTACCCTGCTTTCCAAGGGAGTTTCAGTGTGCAAAGACAACTAGATCTGGCTTGTCATCATTTTGTAGTGTCTCTGTGCCAGTCACCCATGAAGCCACCAACAGTTTCAAAACAATCCAGAAGGAAGCACTCTTACCTCAGAGTGGTGCTAATCACCCACACCATCTGTTATTTGGTGAAGATAACAGAGAAAATGACAACCATCCAACAGGCCGAGTATCCTGAAGTCACGAGACCCCCCACCCCCGTAGATGAAGAAGGTGGTTTGAACTGCTGACCGTTAATGAGCCCACTAATTTAACCCAACAGCATAATCTCCCATCACTCCCTCTGGCTGAAGTCATGGTAATTTGCTATATTCATAAAGGTAGTTTGATCTAGATGAAACGCAGTTGGTTGGTTGGGTTTTTTTTTTTTTTAACCATCTTGAACCTTCTAAGGGAGAAGAAGCCCTCTTCCTTCCTGTAATTCACTCATGAGCAGGTCTGTTATCAGGGCTGAAATATGTTAATTTCTCTCATCATGTCTCCTCCTCCTAAAACCTAGTCACAGGAAGCAAAAATGGCTTTGTGTTCTCCCCAAATGCAGCACCCAGCCTATGGGTTTCCTTTTTAAAGTCATCCTACTTAATTCCTAGAAAAGCCTAAATTCCAGGAAACAAACTGAACAACTGTATTCATATTTAAGAAGAGAAAATATTTTTTTTAAAAAAAGAAAATAATTCTGCCGAGGGTCTTTTGGCTCCATGAAACAATAGGTCTTGTCTGTTTTGTTTTGTTTTTTAAGACAAGAAAGTTCAGGGCTGGAGGGATGCTGGCTCAGCAGTTAGGAGTGTATGTTGTCTTCACAGAGGACTGGAGTTCTGTTTCCAGCTCCCACATCCAAGAACTCCCAGCCACCTGCAACTCTGGCTCCAGGGGGACTCTATTGTCTCTTTCTTCCTCCATACCTGCAGACACAGAAATAATCACCTACAAACAGCACACGCATCCATGCACGCACGCGCGCACATACAGAGAGAGAGAGAGAGAGAGAGAGAGAGAGAGAGAGAGAGAGAGAGAGAGAGAGAGAGAGAAGAGAGAGAAGAGAGACTGTGATTAGCAGGCAAACACAACAGCAAGCCATATTTATCCTTTCCCAGCAGGTTTCTTGTTGGCTCTCCTGGTGGTGGTGGTCAGGGTGAAGGAGGAACAGGGACTGCCGTTCTGTCTTTCTGTTGCCCCCTTGACAGAGCCTTCCCTTCCTCTCGTAGATCAGCATGCTTCAGCAGCAGCACCTGATTCCCACTCTGCTCCTCCCAGAGCCAGCTCTGACGGTCCTTCCTCATCCCCTTCAGAGGCCTAGATCCTTGTTCCAAGCAGCCCTGCTCCTGGCTTCTCAAGGAGAATGATTTCAGGTTCATCCCTGGGCTCCCCCAGCAGTAAAGGCCAGAGACACTTCCCATGGTCACCGAACCCGTGAGAAGTGTGTCCCCCCTTTCAACTCTCCATAATATAGCCTCATATCAAATTTTCTCGGTTAGAACAAGACGTCATTTTTGACTTCCCGGTACAGCCTGTCATTTGTACTTAGCATTCCAACCTTCCTTACTCCTTTAGTTACATAAAAGCATAAGCCGGATAGCTGTTATATAGAGGAGGGAGGTGGGTCCAAACTCAGGGGTTCTATGTTAAGAGGGTGGTGTGTCTCTTCCAGTAGCTGCTGGAGTGATCCGCGCTGACCAGTGGCTGAGAAGGTGGGTGGGTGTGAACGGTTCTCGCCTGATTCCTAGGAATAGCTCACCCCCGGAAGCCACATTAGAGAATAAATATTTATTGTGGGTTTCCTCCAAATGTTTGAGGTTCCTGTGATGCTAAGTTGTGCAACAGAGTGGGCAGAATGAGACCAACACTGAGGATAGCTCCTTTTTACCTTGTCACTGGACAGGGTCTCACTGTGCATGTATCGGAAAGGTCCTTGCTGTCAAAACAAAGGAGGAAGATCAGCTATAAATAAGAACCAGTTTGAAAGGTGGTAAGATAGTAATGAGGTTGCTTTCCAATTCCCTGTCTTCTGTTATTAGCGAAGCGGCCGGTCTGTGGACATCTTGCTCCTTGAAAGGTAGTTATTCAGATCTGCTTATGTCTGTAATGTGAATATAATTTCCAGCATGTCTCTTCTTTGTAATTGAAAATATTTTTTTAAAGATTTATTTATTTATTTATTTTATGAGTACACTTTATTTTTTTATTTATGAGTACACTGTCGCTGGCTGTCTTCGGACACACCAGAAGAGGGCATCCAATCTCATTACGGATGGTTGTGAGCCACCATGTGGTTGCTGGGATTTGAACTCAGGACCTCTGGAAGAGCAGTCAGTGCTCTTAACCGCTAAGCCATCTCTCCAGCCCGAAAATATTTTTTTTTTTTTTGACAGCGAGACATCCTACACACTACAAATGTATGTCTTAAAGAAGTATTTAAAAGGAACATCGACCACTAAAGTCAAGAAATACTGTGCTGGGGGCTGGAGAGATGGTTCATTGGTTAAGAGCACTGACTGCTCTTCCAGAGGTCCAGAGTTCAATTCCCAGCAACCACATGGTGGCTCACAACCATCTGTAATGGGATCTGATGCCCTCTTCTGGTGTGTCTGAAGACATCAACAGTGTACTCAGATATATAAAATAAATAAATCTTAAAAAAAAAAAAGAAAAGAAAAAGAAATACTGTGTCAAAAGCAGTCTTCCTTCTGGAGCTGATCACAGTCCCAATCTTACATAAATTCCTACTTGGCTTTTTTTTTTTTCCTTTTAAAGTTTTGGTTTTGCTGTGTGCGTGCCTACAAACCCAGGAGAAATTCAGTAAACTTGTCTTTAATTTTTATATTACCACATTCTCCACACTTGGATGCCCTGTGAGATACTTTCCTCGTAGCTGTGACAAAATGCCTGACAGCGAGACGATAATTTCGGCTTAAGGTTTCAGTCCATCGAGGTGGGTAAGGCATAGCCAAATCTAAGGGCATGGCATAAGCCATGGATCACTGGGGGAAAAAGAGGAGAACTCAGCAATGGGCTCTAACCCTCAAAGGCCAGCCCCAGTGACCCACCTGCAAACCAGACACCCAATCACACAAAAACCACCACCAGCTTGGGAACCAGGTGTTCAAACCCATGAGCCCTGGTAGGATGTTTCAGATTTAAGCGGTCAAGATGCATAAAAACGCCAGGCAGTGGTGGTACAAGCCTTTAATCCCAGCACTTGGGAGGCAGAGGCAGGCGGATTTCTGAGTTTGAGGCCAGCCTGGTCTACAGAGTGAGTTCTAGGACAGCCAGGACTACACAGAGAAACCCTGTCTTGAAAAACAACAACAAAAAGATACATAAAAAGACATGCTTCCTTCGTGTGAATGCTTCAGGGTGAGATTGCTGGGAACTAAGGAGAGCCTTCATAGCTCAGACAATGTCAACCCCAAAATGCCTCCAGTTCCCACACCTGAGAGTCCTTCATCCATACAGTCTTTTACACTTGGCCCTCGAAACTGGTGTGTTTCTCTACCCGCTGTTCCTTCCGGGATGTTGTGGCTTTTTGAGGCAGGATCTCACGCTCCTGATCCTCCAGCCACTCCCCCTGAGTGCTGAGACTCAGAGGTTGGTGGTATCACCAACACATGGCCAACTTTTCGCCCTAAGATGCCCGGGTGGTGAGTGTGCTCTCCTGCGTGGCTTTAATTTCCCCCCTCTTCTGATTATTACCGAATTAAGTTCCTCTCCAATAAAGGGCAAATGCTAATTGACCATTTGTTTTCTTCCCTCCGGCCTCCTCCTGTGTCTTCTTGCCTCCCTTCTATTCACTAACTGGCTCTTTTCTCCTTGGGGTGTAGGTCTCTGCCTACCCCAGCAGCATCACGGAGGCAGGGCTCTCTCCCCGCCTTTCCTCCTCCGCGGAGTCGGAGTGGCTAGACCTGAGCATCCCGAGCCGGGAGTCCCCCGCGCCGCCGAGCCCGCGGCCCCGAGCGAGCGGTGCGGTGTTGGCCGCGGTCTCCAGGCAGCGGCGGGCGGGGCGGGAGCCGCCGCGGGAGTCGGGGCTACGGAGGTTGCGGGGCCAGGGGCGCGGCTGCCCAGCAGCGCCGGCAGGTGACGGACGGTTCCCGGCGGGTGGGAAGGGGCCGCGCGAGCGGGCTCTACCGAGAACTCCGGGGTGGGCGCGAGGGAGCGGGCACAGTCAGTGGTCTGGGAGGAAGGACCGCGCCCAGGCAGGGCTGATCCCTCAGGCCGGGAAGCCCTGTCCCCAGCCCCTTGTCCCGGTCTCCAACCCGCCACCTCTGGACCTTCAAACGCCCCCCTGTAGCCTGTCCTGACCCTAGAGAGAGGCAACCGGCGTAAACCCTGCGATCCCCATGGGGCGGCACCCCGCCTGTTACAAACAGGGCAACGTTAGATCCCCCGTTCATCCTAAGGCGGGCTCCTTGTCCCCTGCCCTAACGGATTTGACCCCAACTAGTGGCAGAGACAGAAGACCTTAGCAGGATCCAGGAGAATTGGTGGTTTCTTAGTCCCTAGAGGACGTGCCCCATGCCTTCCTTGTTTACTAAGAAGTGGATTGGTCAGGAATCGCTGAGGCCCAACCGTTGTTTTCTTTTTTTCCTCATTGGCTTTTTTGGGGTGGAGAGGTGAGGGGGAGTATAGAGCCTCACTAGAGAATTACTCGTGAAATATAGCCCACTTACTAAACTTATTCAAGTGATCAGGTCTTTTTCTATTTTCTCCTCCCCCCCACACCCCCTTTAGGGAATATTTCACTCTGTTCTTTCACTTTCTTCCCAAATTCTACTACTCACTCTGTCAACGACAACTAAATTTTTGTTATATATAGCCATTACTTATTACTACGAAGAGATCCTGGGTTCTCATTTAAGAAAAGACAAAATGAAGGATTTTAATTATTGTATTAAAAAAACAGTTCTGAAATGAACTGAGATTCCCACACCCCCACCCCCTTGCGGGAACTGTAGATGAAACCCATTCATCGTGCATGTGGTAGCAGTGAACTACAGCCCCCAGCCCCTACCCTGCTTGTCAAGGTTTTTTTTTTTCAGCTTGTTCTTCAAGACTCCAAGTACAGTGAGCTTTTAAACAACAAATCTGGTGTTTATACAGGCTTAGATTTAAAATGTTTTCATGCTTGCTGCTTTCTTTAAAAAAAAAAAAATCCTGCAATTGGTATGAAAACGTGGCAGAAAGCAGTGTGTATACTAAACCAGAGACTGATTGCAGGCAAACTAATCTAAAATTAGGCCGTGACATATTGGTCTACCAAGAGAGCTCGGAGTTAAACAGAGAATCGCTCCGTGTTTGTTTAAGTGTGAGCACTACCTTTTGTCTGTCATGTTTGTAAAGGTGCTTTCATCCGAGGAGCAGGCCGTGTCCTTGGAAACCCTAGCAACAAGGTCAATATAATAATAATTCAAGGAACAGGAATCAGGTCAAGGTACTTTTAATTAAAAACTGGATTTGCCAAAAGAATATGAACAAGCCAGTCAAAACAAATTTGAGTATAGCCTCCAATGGTAAAATGCGCTCTCTCTCTCTCTCTCTCTCTCTCTCTCTCTCTCTCTCTCTCTCTC